TATATATATATATATATATGTATATATATATATATGTATATATATATATATATATATATATATATATATATATATATATATATATATATACACACACACATTTACACTGTATGTGTGTATATATATGTATGTATGTATGTATGCATGTATGTGTATGTATATATATATATATATATATATATATATATATATATATATATATATATATATATATATATATATATATGTATATACATATATACGTATATAAATGTATATGTATATTAATATATAGAAATATATATCTAGCTAGTTAGATAAATAAATAAATAAATAAATATATATATATATACAGACTCTCTCTATATATATACATATCTATATATAGACATGTGTCTATATATTTAAATCACTTTATCTATCAATCTATCTATATATATATATATACACATATATATAAAGTGGGCGTGTGTGCATTCTTCCACTTCGTATCTCCACTTCAATGAGTAATCACTACCAGTAATAAATGGAATTAGCCAAACGGAGGATAATGAAAGAGAAACCATTAATTAAAGATTTAATGTGTTCATAATAACATTTGAACTCTGTGTCCATTTATCGTAACACAAACTCATGTACAGTGTAAAGTTAGGGTGAGATGCCACTCTGTGATTGAGAAAGAAATAAAAAATATACAGATTGAAAATAATTATGATAATATAAACAAACCCCATGTTGTTGTAGTGAAAAAAAAATATCCTTCAACATGGAATTCGTAAGCATTATAATTTGTCAAGAGTATTTGTTAAACCTAATAAATATCATCTTCCCGTAAATTCTAAAAAAAAAGATAAAAAAACGATATATTTCGCAAAAAGGAATTCCCAACGCACCAAAACCTCGTTACAATATTCACATATTATCATCATCTTCTTTAAAAAGTTCTAAAGGCAGAGGATATAAGAATAGAAATTGGAATTTCTTTAAAAAAAATTGACTGGAAACGTTATATAAGATATATATATAGAAAGACGAAGTTATATGTTGTCTCCAGTCGCTAAGAGAGATGGCGCCGAGGGGGGGGGAGGGAAGAGGGGGAAGAGGGGGGGGGGAAGCGAGTGGTAGAAGGGGAGGGAGGGGGAAGAGGGGAAAGAGGAGTGATAGATGGAGAGGAAGGGAGGGAGAAGGAAGTGGGAGAGGGAGAGGAGGAGGAGGAGAAGGAGGGGGAGCGAGTGGTGGTTGGGAATGGGGGGTGGGGTAAGGGAAGAGGGAGGGAGGGAAGGGGAAGAGGACCAGGGGGAAGGGAGAAGGGGGGAGGGGAGGAAAGTAAGCGCGGGAAAACGGAGAAAAAAAAAATTTGCTGAAAAACGACAAAAATCATCACGAAGCAAAGAAGATAACAAACCAAACGAAATTGAAAAATAAAAAGGGATACAAAGACAGAGAACAATATATATATAATATATGTGATATGAATAATCTGAATATAGTCTATTTACACTTACGAAATGATATCGAACTCGCGCCTTCACAGAGAGAGAAAAAAATACCCACGTTACCCTTCACTCGCGTCTCAGATCGTGAATTTTTATATAAAGAAAAAAAAATACTTGTTGATTATTCTAAAAAACTGCCCTCAGCTATTTTGTCTTAATTACGGATGCATGCCAAGAAATTATATTAAATATTGATATTGTTGATAATAATAACAATAATAATAATAGTAATAATAATAGTAATAATAATAATGTGTCACGATGTTTGGGAATAATCAAAAATGAGGATGAAGGGGATATGAAGGAGGAAGGGAAAGGATGAAGATGAGGAGGAGGAGAAGGATAAGGAGGATGAGGAGGAAGAGGAGTAAGAAAAAAGAGGAGAAAGAAAAAAGAGGAGAAAGAAAGAAGAGGAGAAAGAAAGAATAGGACACAGAAGGAACAGGAGGAGGAGGAGGAGGAGGAGGAAGATGAGGAGGAGGAGGAAGAGAAGGAGGAGAAGGAACAAATGAAGAAGAAGAGGAGGAGGAGGAGAAAGCGACCAACCGACAAAAAAGAACTGCTGCCATGCATATCAACACCAATTTCAATCGGTCACAACCTTGTGCACGGCAGAGGGAAGAGGAATAAAGAATATGAAAGAAAGAACAGAGAAGAAGAGGAAAAGGAAAGAGAGAAAAAAAAGGAAGAGCAAAGGAAGATATAATACATACACGAAAGAAAACACATGAAAGAGACATACATGGAAAAGACGCGCACAAAAAAGCCGGAGATTCTGGCGACCGAGATAATAAAAAAAAGGAATAAAGAGCAAGACGTGAAACAGAAGAATAAAGAGGAATTGAAAGGGAATATAGGGGAAGACGAAGGGGAGTCGCCGATAAAAGCACAAAAGCAAATCAATGGCGACCAAGAGGGAGGAGGACGAAGAGGAAGAAGATGAGGAGAGAGAAAGGAGGAGGACAAGAAAGAAGATGAGAAGGAGAAGGGTGATAAACAGAGATAACAGGACAATGTACGATAACCATCCTTATCTAAAAGAAAATAAAGATTATTGGAATGCGAATGGTCTTTTAAATAAATGCTTCAGAAAAAAGTAGAATCTCACGCGTAATTCATACAAAGAAAACGCACGTGGCAAGTAGCATAGAAAATGTATGATCAATACTCGAAAAACGCGGGAAAAAGGAGAGAGAGCATGAGTATAAAAGAGAACGTCAGTTATAAAAGGAAAATGAAATAAAGGAGAAATGCGAAGAAGAAAATATAATACATGAAATAAAGGAGAAACACAAAGGAGAAGAAAATGCAGAGAATAAAGAAAATAAACAAGAAACACTAAGAAAAAAAGAGAATAAATGAAATCAAGGAGAAACAAAGAACAAAAAAAAAATGAGTATAAAAGAAATAAACAACGAGACATGAATAATCAAAACGATAAAAAAAAAATGTAAATAATATATGTGCTGGTGACACGGCTAACGCATCCAGAGCTGGGCAGAGGAATATAGCCTTTGGGTTCAAAAACTCGAGTGGGAAAAAAATGACAAACTGCATTGAGAGTAGACTTTAATTACATCATCTTCAATCTCTGAGTTTCTGGCGGTCGTTGTGCGTAAACCTTCACTGATGAATGAGTGAAATGAATGAACAGGAAAATGGTTCACAACTATTAACGTAACAATGGATTCACGGCGAGAGAGAAGAAAAAAAAGGTTTCGTGAATACGTGGCTGAATTAACGCAAATATTCGCCAACGTAGTGAAGAATCACAAATCAAAATTGATTGAAAACAAGAAAATGTCATTAAAAAGATAACACTTGATCTTTTCTCTTACAAGTTTTTTCTTCTTGCCTTCAAGTTGAACAGACTTCAAAGTTGTCTGAAGAACAAGATCCCCAATATAATAATAATAATATTCTCGAGATTATACAGTAAAAGCATTACACAAGAGATTGGTAAACGTGTATAAAATATACTAAAAAAAAAACAGACACTTAAAAAAGAAGGTACGAATAAAGAGGTTCTCACTAGCTGGGTGTCCGAATAGTGGCTCAGGCGAAGACGTTCAGCTGTCCAGGGGATACAGTACACCAACAGCGTTTACTTTCGTTCAAAAACCACTAGATGATAGCATTGGCAAATGTGTCCGTTAAGAGCTACAACACAAACGATGATACAGACACATATAAAGACGAGGTGTAACAGCATTTCACCATATGACTAGCGCTCGCCCGTGACTGCGCATCGGTTCCACGCGACGCTCAAACACTGTAATATACTTTTTATGTAATATACTTCCACTATGAATACAGTTCTTTGTAGGGGGGAAAGGAAGGGTGGGGGGGAAGGAAGGGGGGGGAGGGTAAGGGTGGGGGGGAAGGGGTGGAGCGTGGATAGGAAAGTTGTTCCATGAAACCAGAATGTGGGGGGTGAGAGAGAAAAAAAAAACTAGCCAATTGGATTTACTAAGGCTCTCTATCGCTTCGTCCCTTTTGTGAAGACAGACAGACAGACACACAGTAGCTAACCGCAACAGAAGAAGTACAACAGAGCTGAGGAGCCACACGGGTGACTTCTATATTGTATGAGAATTGCACAGTACCATAAAATAGTACAAAGTAGCTTTAGCAAAAAGTATGTATATATTATCATTTTTTTTATTCGTTTTGTATTTGGATCAAACATCATGTAAGAAAAAAACACTACAACTTTTTACTTGATGTATAAAGCGCATATAAAACGTGACAATCACCTTACGATGGTATGGTATGAAAAAGTCCACAATCTCGAAACCATTCAACCTACAGCTAGTTAAAAAGACAAGGTCCCCGCCGACGGGACGACCCGGGGGCTGGTGGGGAGCTGTGGGACTGACTAGCACTGGACGCCTCCCGTGGGCGCGGCCGGGGGTGAGGGGGGAGGGGCGTGGGGATGGGAAGGGGAGGGGGGAGGGGCGTGGGGATGGAGGGAGGGGGAGGGGGGGGATGGGAGGGGGGGGAGAAGGGTATGGTGATGGGAGGGGGGGAGAGGAGGGTATGGTGATGGGAGGGGGGGAGAGGAGGGTATGGTGATGGGGGGGGGGAAAGGGGCATGAGGAAGGAGAGGGAAGGTATAAAGAGTGGGGAGGAGCAGTACCAATGGCTATATGGGTAGGGGGGAGAGGGTACGATCAGCATCTATGGAAGGCAGGGATGAGGGAGGGGGGGGGGGGATAGCACAAGCAACTATACCGCCTGTGGAGTTGGAAATGACTGGAGTAATCTCAGCAGCCAATGAGGGTGAAGGGAAGGGGAGGGGGAGGGGATATGAGGACTGTGCGATCAGGAGTAGCGGGGAAAGGGGCGGGGGGGGGGGGGGAGGGGATTTACATGTTGGGGAGAGTGAACCGGTAATGATTATGAGTCAAGTCCTCCCCTGTCTATCTCAAAACAATCGGGGTGATGCATCAAGACTTCCGCCCGGACATCTCCGAACACAACACACTATAAGGAGTGCGGAGTGAGGAGTGAGACATCAACAGGTTTCTTATATTTTTCCTTTTTTTTTTTTTTTTTTTTTGCTTTTGGTGGGAATAAAGACTATGTTTGTTTGTTTTTTTGTAATATTTGATCAGTACAGTATTTATGAGAAAATTAAATACTGCCAGACCCAATGCGGTGAGTTCCTATGAATGAATATTTGCTCTTTAAAATAATACACGTTCATTTACGAATCTTTGTGTTTTTTTTTACGATTTTCGAAGTTTTGAGAAATATCTTCAAATAACAAGTGTTTATACCTCACAAAGACGAAACATTTAAATATTCTTAAAAACATTCACTGACTTCCCATGGCCAATTATAAACAGGTTAAAAGCAGCAAAGCTTTATAAAAAAAAACAAAAAACAAAAAAAAAACTAAATATAATATTCGAAAAGGAGAGAACAGGCAATGGCGGAATTACTCTCATGCAACATTTTAAACATGTACTAATAGCAACGGTGCAAACAACCTATATGTGCAGTTATATGTGCTCAGCCACCAAGCACCGTTAAAAGGCGTGACATAAAATACTTTTTTTCCATCCTGGATATCTCTTTGTTTTTCTTTTTTTCTCTTTCTTCCTCTTCTCGTCTCCCTCGACAAAACCCAAAATGAAGATGGGTGTTTAAATTCCTTTATTCTATTATCACTTACATGCCCTTAGAGGTTACCTATTATTTACCGTTTATAGGCCTATGATCACAATGAGAAGATAAACTGATTATTTAAAACTAATACATTTCTTTATACTATTCTTTATACTAAAGTATAGTAAATTCTATGTACGTGGTCTGTTCTCATTACACTTCCTACATAGTGCCACATCAGGCAGAACCATTTGTCAATACAAGCTTATATCCTATAATCTGAATACACATGCACATGCGCATAAACATGTACAACACAAGTACTGACACACACACACACACACTCAACACACACATGTACCAGTCTCTTCCTTTCCTTTAATCTCTCTGTGTCTCATACATAAATCTCACGCAACATACACACACACAAATACCACTCTCTATGTACACCATATTTGCATTTGCTATACTAAAGAAATATTTAGTACATTATTCAAACTCAGAACCTGAGGAAGTATTGAAGAACCATGCTCGGATGCCAAAGGAGTACTAGAGAAAAAAAATATGTCGATAATATAACATAAGATAAATATCTTTATGGCAAAACTGACGAGAAAACAAACAATACTTATATACAAAAAAAATGGTTAACAAACTGACTGGCATTCTACAATTGGTGTCGCCAGAGCATTCCTAAATGACTGACAAACAGAGAGAAGAAAAAAAAACACAAAATATAATGGAATGAACATACAACTTGTTACTCACATAATTAGACATGGTCAATGAAAAAAAAACAAAGGATATATACCTTAAAACATCCTAGTACAAGACCATCACACTTCAATCACATCACTTCTCGATTTCAATTAACAATGAACATATAAATATTTGACACTCTGTGAAAGACAACTTGTGCAGGCTTGAAAGGGCCAATGCCATCCTGACCTTCCTTAAAGCCTTATACAATGTGCCGTTTCAGTCACTGGCTCTGAAGCTTGGGTCAGCGTGGCGTCTTCTCACCAAGGCTTCAGTACAAGGCTACTATTTCGTGTGCTCACGTGATGCTCCCGCGAATCTCTCTCTCTCTCTTTCCCCTGCAACATCTTCTAAGATTGTTTTGATCTCTCTCTCTCTCTCTCTTTTTCTCTTTCTCTTTGGTCCTTGGGAGGGTTCTTGGGATACATGTTTCCGAATGTATTTTTTCCCCAAACTTTATTTCTTACAGATTGTTTCTACAATATTGTGTTCCACGCGTCGGTAATTCCACAGGCCTGGTTGACACATTTCAGACCAGGCAGTGTAGTTTGTTTGTTATACTCCTGATGCATGGCATGACATGACATGACTCCACACTACTCGTTGTCATACTTCTTGTTCTTAGGTTTCCTTTACAAGTTAGTCTACTTGTATTTTTCACTTATAGAGGTATGAGGCTTCCCGAACACTCCTGCCGTCTATACACTCTCAGTACGATATCGACAAGAATAACTGGAGCACATTTTTTTTTAAACAGAGTCCAAGCACTTTAAATACACCAGGATTGTATGGAACTTTTCAACTTTCCCAAATCTCAAAAAGGTTTCACAAAAATGATAAAAGAATGGCATATACTTTAAACAAGAGTCACAGACTGGCTACTCCGAAGGGGTTACCTGAAGTCTCTTGGCCTTACACTGTAGCTCAGTAACAAGATATAAGGGCAAGTATAAAACAAATTTCTCTATAAAGATGATACAGGGGTTGGTTGAAAACTGTGTTGCAGAAACTGCTAATCCATGCACAAAGAAGAACACTATACTGATTAAACAAATGTGTATATGATACAGGAATGTCTTCACTTCGTTACTCTAAACCAACCACTTCGCCTCCGCGCAAGTCACCAAGATGCTTCCTCGCGACCCTCCACTCCGGCCACCTTTGAGCAGATCGAAACCCTGACAGTTAATCTCAAAAGTTGCACAAAAATTCGAAGGCTGGGGCGATTGCGAGCACTGACTGACTGACTGACTGAATGACTCGACTGACTGACTGACTGACTGGCCGGCGTCCTCCTCCTATCGAGAACGACCTACGACCCATTCATCTGAGTCTGACTTGAGCTTAACGAGTCCCTCCTGGATCCGTTTTCCTTCTCCGAGCCGTTGCCCGAGTCGGAGAGCAGGTTCTCGGCGGAGCTGCTCGACACCCCGCTCACCGACAGCTGTTGGGGCACCGTGGAATGTGATCTGTGGCAAATAAACATTCAGGGTGAATGTTCATGCACGGCTGAGGGTTTTTTTGTTTTTTTTAAGGAGCTCTACATCTGGCAAACTTTCATATTTCAAGACTGAAAGAGAAGAAGAAAAAAAATATATATGTAAAACAAAAACGTTAAGTCATCATATTCACCAAAAAACAGCAAATCAAAATTATCCCAATCTTACGATAGAAACCCCCTTTCAAAAAGAAACAAAATATTTCACAACCCTGCCCCCCCCCCCAAAAAAAAAATACACAAAAAACACAAAGCACCCCCCAATACCCCACAGACAACAAACAACAGAGTCCAAGCAACAGTACCTCGTGTGCGAAGACCCGTTCGAGAGGGACTTGTTTCCGCGCAGGTGCTCGGACTTGGACCTGGTGTGGCCGTGGGCGAGCTTCTGTTCGTCCGACTGGTTCGCGTAGGGCTGCTCCCTGAGGGCCAGCTGGTAGGCCACCTCGAACGCCTCGCCCAGGGTCAGGATGATCTCGGTGGCCAGCTCCTGCAGAAGGGGGAGCGGGTTAGTTGAGGGATTAAGTGCGCGATCCACTGAGGGATACTCAAGTTTTTTTTTTTTTTTTTTTTTTTTTTTTTTTTTTTTTTGTGTGTGGGGGGGGGGGGGGTTCTTGACGGTGTCATTTTTGGGGTTGTGAATTTATTTATTTTTCCATGTTTTTTTTTTTCGTTGTAAGTGATAGTGATGGATGATCCTTGGCTGCACGTTATGTTGATTATTCTTGAGCAAAGTCAGACGCGTCGATATTCTGAAGACTGACACAACATCTGATCATAATTATTAACAATAGCTTTAATGCGAACTGTTGCCAATGCCATTGCAGCCATTAACATCAACAACTGTCATCGTTATCATTAATTATCATTACTACCAATACCATCATCACTATCATTATTACAACTACTACAACTGCAACAAATATAACTACAACTAAGAACTTTCCCAAGAGACGAAACCCACGAAAAAGACTCCCCAACCCCCCCTCCGTCCCTCACCCACCAGAACCCCCTCTCCCCCCCACCACACCCCCTCCCCCCAAAAGATGAAACCCTTGGGAAATAAAAAAACCTCATGCCCTTTTCTTCCCCTCCCCCTCCTTATCAACCAGAAACCCCCCTCTGCCTCCTCCCTCCCTATCAACCAGAATCCCCCTCCCTCCCTAGCAATCCTCCCCCCTCTCCCTCCCTCCCTCCCTGTCAACCCTCCCCCCCCATTCCCCCCTCCCTCCTTATCAACCCTCTCCCCCCCTCCCCCTCCTTATCAACCCTCTCCCCCCTCCCTCCCTCCCTAGCAACCCTCCCCCCCTCCCCCCTCCCCCAACTCACCCTGGATTGTACTCTGAAGACGTGGCAGTAGTGTCCTTTGGTTTCGAGGTCTTTGGTGATGTAGGCGAAGTGCGAGAGGTCGTCGGCGTCCTGGCACGCGCAGTGGATGTTGCGGATCTCGTGCTCGCACACCAGCGCCTGCGGGGGGGGGGGGGATTGGAAGGAGGCAAAGAGGAGGAGAGAGAGAGAGGAGGTGACGGGTTAGAACGAATATTGGAGGATGAATGTTGATATATATATATCATATACATATATATATATATTATATATACATATATATATTATATATATACATATATATACATAAACACATACATATACACACATATATTCACATATACATAAACATCCATATCTGCAAAACCAAACTACAAAATATCGCATCTTTTCAATTAACATAATAACAATAATAATAATAATAATAACAATAACAATAACAATAATAAATGACGACAATAGCAACAAATAAAAACAAATCCACCACGCCCCACCTGCGTCTGCGCGTCGATGAACTTGACGCCCCGATACGACACCGACAGCACGATTTTGGGGACCTTGGCGCCCTCCGTCGTCGACTTCTTCAGCTTCTGGATGGACTTCATGGTCGACTCCGTGCCCTTCAGCTCCTTCACGTGCGTCGAGCCCAGGTACTGGCGGAGGGGGGGGAGGGAGAGAAGAGAGGGATGAATAACTGGAGAGAGAGAGAGCGAATGCGTACGTATGGAGAGGCGGAGATACGAAGAGATAAGTAAAAAAAAGAAAAGAGAAAAAAGAAAGAAGAAATGACAAGAGTCCCTAAAAATAGTCATATATTGATATCAATAATAATAATAATAAAAAAAAACGTATATTCATAAATACATATGTAAACAAATGAATTAATACATGAATAAGCAAACAAATAAATAAAAAAGCAAGCAAAATATAACAAAAACTAACAATAAACAAACAGACAAATAAAAAAAATAGATAAACAAAAAAAACACACAAACGATGCCATATAAACACACAAACAAAACAAAACATAAACAAACGCCACCCACCCACACCCATAACACCCCCTCCCCCCCACAGCCAACCTCCCCCCCACTCACCTGCGCCACATACTGCACGCTGGAGGAGACGAGGGCGTTGGGGTGGTGGCGCCAGGTGGTGGTGAGCGCCGTGTTGGGCACGCCCACCACCAGCTGCGAGGGGTCCCGGATGGACAGGTGGCTCAGGTCGTCCGTGCTGTGCTGCTGGTCGAGGGTCGGCTGCGCTCGCGGGGTCCTGGGGGGGGGGGGGATGGGAAATGGTGGGGGGAAAGGGGAGAAGGGGGGAAGGGGAGAAGGGGGAAGGGGAGAGGAGGGAGGGAGGGAGGGGAATGGTGGGGATGGATAGGGGAGGGAAGGTGAGAGTGGTGGGTGAGGGGGAGGGAGAGAGGGAGAGAGGGAGGAAGGTAGATAAGGCAGGGGGTGAGGGAGGAGGGTGAGGGAGGAGGGTAAGGGAGGGAGGGAGGGAGGGAAGGTAGGCAAGTTTAAAAGAGAGAGGGAATACAATGAAGAGAGAGAAAGGAATAGAGGAGGTAAAACGAAAGGTGGGGGAGGGAGAAAAAAGAAGAAAAAAAGAGTGACGATTAAGACCAAATTATCACTGTATTTTACTTACTATTATCACTCAAAATATTAAAATTATTAGCATTATTTTCCTTATCATCAATACCATTATCCTCCCTATCTAAAATAATTAGATATATGAGGTACCCTTTTTTACGTTAAAAAAAAGTATAACACATCAGAGATACTATGCAAGTTTACATAGAATGAGAAATTGAAATGATTATAAAACAAAAAAAATGTAATATTGAACACTTACTAAATTATGTCTGACAAATAAAGAGAGAGAGGGAGAGAGAGAGAGAGAGAGAGAGAGAGAGAGAGAGAGAGAGAGAGAGAGAGAGAGAGAGAGAGAGAGAGAGAGAGAGAGAGAGAGAGAGAGAAACCAGACAAAGTAAGACGGAGAGAAGAAGAGCAAGAGACAAGAGAAAGACACAAAGAACAGACGAGCCACACTACAAGAAAAGAAAAAGAAGACAACAAAAAAGAGGAAGAAGACGACAACAAAAAAGAGGAAAAAGAAGACAACGAAAAAGAGGAAGAAGAAGACGACGACAAAAAAGAGGAAGAAGAAAACGACGACGAAAAAGAGGAGGAAGAGGAAGAAGCCGAATAATACTAATAATAAGAGGAAATCAGAAACCGATAGGGCGCCTTACTTGGGAGGCTGCGGCGCGCTCCGCTTCTTGGTGCCCGAGCGGCGGATGGTGTTGGTGGCCGTCTCGGGGGGGCGCCGCTCCCGGGAGGTGCTCGAAGGCAGGTCGTTGAACAGCTGTTCCTTCAGCTGCGAGATGTCCGAGTTCTGTGGTCGAAGTGGGAGAAGAGAGGGATAGATAGATAGATAGAGTGAGAGAAGGAGAGAAAGAGAGAGAGAGAGAGAGAGAGAGAGAGAAATAGATAGATAGATAGAGAGAGAGAGAGAAGGAGAGAGAGAGAGAGAGAGAGAGAGAGAGAGAGAGAGAGAGAGAGAGAGAGAGAGAGAGAGAGAGAGAATAAGTTCTTGGTTAGTGATTGTCCGGTAGTTAGAGGTGTCATTCAACACTCAATGTGAATGAAAATCGTTTAGATTTATTTTCATTTATAATCATATGACACTCCATAAGTCTACATATACAATAGATCCCTCCCCCCTCCCTCCTCCTGTCCCTATTGTCCCATAACTTTATAAAATCCAAGGGAAGATACAAGTCATTGATACATCTCAGATCCTATAAAATAATGGCGATAATATTGATAATCATGATACTGATAATGACAATTAACATAACCCCTTCCCCCTCATCTTCTCTCTTTCCCCATTCCGTCCCTTTCCCCTTACCCTCCCCTCTTCCCTATTCCCTCCCCCTCCCCTTCGTTACCTACCCCTCAACCTTTCCCACTATCCTCTTCCCCCTTCCCCTCTCCCCTTACCCCCCCCCCCCTCCCCGCCACCTACCAGCTTGGTGAGCTCGAGGCTGAGGTCGTGCGGGTTGAGCGAGGCGGGGAGCTCTGGCTCGAGCGGCCTCTCCCCGAGCGAGGCCAGGATGCGCTTGCGGTGTCCGAGGCGCGTGATCTCGAGGACGGTGGTGAGCTCGATCTCCCACACCTTCCGCACGCGCTCCATGTCCCCGAAGCCGTTCTTGTGGAAGTTCTGTGCGTACTGCGGCAGGCGGATGGAGTCCAGCCACGCCTCCACGGTGTCGGGCAGCGTGTACGAGGAGCGGTGCGGGTGCAGCGGCGTCGGCAGGCGGGACACCGAGTCCATGAGGGCGTGCTGGTGGGCGGCCTGAGTCACGCCCAGCTCGTGGAGGTCCCCGCCCTCCAGGATGCCGCCGTTCTGAGGGAGGGAGACGGAGAGGGTGAAGGAGACTGCGTTTATACTGAGAAGGGGTTTTGATGATAAGTTTCGTAATCTTAATATCTGAAAATAGGACATCGATCAAATGCCTGATTAATCTGATTATCATTTCACGTGCAAATTTTTAATGATTTTAAAAACAGAAAGTAAAACAGAATAATAATAATAATAATAATAATTCAGTTTGATTCCATTTGTTACAATGGATATTCTTGTTGTGATATACTGTCTGTTTTATTTTGCTTCTAAATTACCCCCTGTGTGCAAGGAATGGCCGGGGTTACCATCCACTGGTGGCGAGCGATTCGAACGCAGGTCAGCAAGATTGCTAGACGAGATCGCTACCGCTGCACCACACAGCACACGAAAGAAAAGAATGAATAACTAGATAGCAAAGAATGAAAGTCCGAACGAAAGAGAGAAAACGAACAACGAGAAAGAGAACAGGAAAGCAAAGAAAATACAAAGAAAAACAACAACAAAAACAATCCCTCCCCCTCCCCCCCACCAAAAAAAAGCCTACCAAAGAGAGAAACTGCAAAAAAACGCAAACCAACTGCCCAACTGCCCGACGGAGGCAGGCGAGGCCCGACGGAGGCAGAGCGCGCCCGCACCGGTAAACAGAGGCGGAGGCCGTATACAGTTTACACCCACCTGTCTAAACCCGCGAGTCTGCCCCGACGCCCACATCAAAATACGCCGGAAAAGAAATGCTTTGCCTAAATAACGAATGATTTACGTGGAACTACCTCCTTCTGCTGGGTTATAAGCATACTGATAACGATAATAATTACAAAGATAATGCTGATGATGATGACGATGATGATGATGATGATGATGATGATGATGATGATGATGACGATGATGATGACGATGATGATGACGATGATGATGATGACGATGATGATGATGATGATGATGATGACGATGATGATGACGATGATGATGATGATGACGATGATGATGATGATGATGATAACAACAGTAATGATACTAATACTAACAATAAAGATAATGATAATAATGAAATATTAATAATAATAATAATAATAATAATAACAATGAAATATTAGTAATAATAATATTAATAATAATAATAATTTCCTTCACGCATACCCGGGCCTCACTATCTCTTCTTTTAGTCTCTTCCCTCTTCTCTTCCTTCTCTTCCTCCCTTCCGTCTTTCCTCATCCCCCTATTCCCCCTTATTTCCCCATACCTCTTCTTCCTATCCCTTCCATATAATCCTTTTTTTTCTCTCCTCTTCCTATCCCTACCCTTTCATCCATCCCCCCCCCCCCCCCACTTCTCCCTTCCTTCTCTCACTCTCCCTATCCCTTTCCTCTAAGCCCCCTCCCCCCATCTCCCTTCCTTCTTTCCCCTCTATCACTCCCTTTCCCCCTTCCCTCCCCCGAACACTTTTCCCCTCTAACCCTCCCCCCTTTCCCCCCAAAACACTTTCCCCTCCCCTCTTTCTCCCCCCCCCCCCAAAAAAAAACACTTTTCCCCCCTCCCCTTCTCCCAATACTCTTCCCCTCTCGCCCTCCCTTTCCCCTCCCCTCCTCTTCCCACCACATTTTCCTCTCTCCCTCTCCCCCCCTACCCCCCAACCACTCAAAACGGAACTTCAAAAGCAAACGATATCATGGCAAGTATTCCTCCACGCCCCTGCCCCTGCCCCCGCCCACGCCCACGCCCACCCTTTTAATCTATCTTTCTGCCTTTATCCACGACGCTAAGTGAAGGAGAGTCAGAAGAAGAAGAGGAGGAGGAGGAGGAGGAGGAGGAGGAGGAGGAGGAAGGGGAAGAGGAGGAGGACGAGGAGGAGGACGGGGAGGAGGAGGGGGAGAAAGAGGAAGAGGAGGAGGAGGAGAAAGCAAATAAATGAATAAGAATATAGAATGACTTATTGAAATCCAGAGGGAGAAAAAAGAAAAGAAAAGACACTTACCCTAATTACCTCCATTAAAGACGCATTTAAATAACAATTTGATAACTAAAAATACAATTAAGAAGCTAATGAAACGAACAAAAAAAATGGACGAATGATGAATAAAATAAAAGAAAGAAACTTATTCAAATAGAAACAAATAAACAACTTACGTCAACCACTAGTGACTGAAAACAAACAAGCCAAATAAACAACGAAACGAAAGAAACGGGACAAATACAAGAAACAAAACAAACACACTAATAAAACAGATAATCACATTAATAATAAAAAAGAAGAAATGAGATAATCTGCTCATATTTGCATACAGAAAACAATAAAAAGGACAAATACATAAACAAAAAATAAAAATATAAGAAACAAGACTTAAACAGCAATAAACAAAAGGGACATGAGCAACACACAAAACAAATGATAAACTTATAAATTTAACAAGGACACAAAAAAACTAAAAGAGAAACAGATAAGAACATAATACAATAAAAATGAAAATAAGTAAATAAATAAATAAATAGAATAAACGAGATATAGATAAAAACATATAAACACCGCCGTGACGCATCGCCATGAACTCGTCGTAAGAAAACATTATGTAAACAGAATAAAGAAACAAAAAAACGAGAAAAATAAAGATAAATAGATAGACACACTAACCGAAAAAAAACAGATAAAATACAAAGATAAATCCAATAACTAAAAAACTGATAAAAACAACAGAATCACCACGAACACAAAATCTATCTATCTAGTTATCTATAGATTTATACCTATCTATCTATCTATAATATATATATATACTTATCTATCTATCTATACACTCATATCTATCTATTTATCTACATATTTATACCTAACCATCTATCTATTTACCTATATACCTACCTATCTACATACATACAAATAGTTGAAACAGCCAGATAAAGGCAAATTAACTTAGCCTCACCATGAAATCCACGTCGTCGTATCCGTGGGCGATGAAGACGTCCTCGTACTGCGGGAGCCCCAGCGCCTGCAGCCAGCCGCCCACCGTCTTGTCGCCGCCCGCCTCCACCACGCCCACTTCCACCACGCCCACCTCCACCACGCCCTCGCTGCTCCCGCTACTCGACAGCAGACCGAGGCCTTGCTGGGACGGCGACAGCGACAGCCCTGGGGTTGGGGAAGGGGAGGGCAGGAGTGGGGGAAGGAGGGAGAGGGGGAGGGAAGGAAGGACAGGGGGTGGAAGAGGAGAAGGGAGGGGAGAAAGGTTGTATGAGGGGGGAGGTACAAGGAGGGAAGGAGGGAGGGAGGAATGGGTGGGAGGGAGGGAGAGGGGGAGGGAGAGAGGGACAGGGAGAGGGGAAGGGAAGGAAGGACAGGGAGAGGGAGGGAGGGAAGGAGGGAGAGGGGGAGGGAGGGAGGGAAGGAAGGAGGGAGGGAAGGAAGGAGGGGAGGAGGGAAGGAAAGAGGAAGGGAAGGGGAGAGGAGAGGAGGGAGATATGGGAGGGTGGGAGGGAGAAAGGGGGTAGTGGAGGGAAGGAGGGAGGGAAGAAGGAAGATAGGAAGAGAGGGGGGGAGAGAAAGGATAAGAGTGAAAGAGAAACAGAGTGGGAGGGGGGGAAGGGGAGGAGGGAGAAAAAAAATGTATTAGTCACATTACAGTTTCCTAATGCATCGGTGTTTACAATAAAAGGTATGTTTACGAAACTACCACCACTTCATACGTACACAATTACTGTTTACAACTAACAGAAGATACTGTGAACTGATTACAAAAGCAGATATACCTAATTACAAATATATCTTTATATAACTGACGAATGGATTTATATTTCATAATGAATTTATATTTCAGAGAGAATAAATAAACGTAAACATTCACACGAGGCGAATAAACAGAAGGAGGAGGAGGAGGAGGACCTGAAAAAAAGGAAAAATATAGCCGAGGAGGAGGAAAATAAGAGGAATACTGGAGATAATGGAAAAGACAAGAAACAAAGACGATGAAGGATGAATATAAAAAAGAAAGAGAAGGAAAAGAAGCAGGAGATGAAGAAATCGAAGATAAACAGAAGTGAAGAAATAGCGAAGAGACCGTAATAGAGAGTCAGTTTCCTGAGAAGTGAACCGCCAAGGAATAAAGACGATGAAGAAACACAAAAAGAGAAAAGAGAGAAGGGAAGAAGCAAGAGAAGGAGGAGAAGAAGAAGAAGAGAAAAACGAGAGGGAAGGGAAAGCGAAAAAAAACAAACTGAAAGATCCTCGGAAAAAGGGACCGCGGTCCGACACCTGCGCCTCTTCCTCCTACTCCTCCTCCACCTCTTCCTCCTCCACCTCCTCCTCTTCCAGCTCCCGCTCCTCCTCACCTAGTCTGGTCTGGAACTCGTGCTCCAGCTCGGCCATGAACACGCTCTCCCTGACCAGCCCTCCGCCGAAGTTGGCCATGATGTCGTTGATCCTGGCCCACTCCTCGGCCTCCTCCAGCGGCGACAGGAGGCTCATGCTGGTGCCTCCGGAGCCCGAGCTGCCCCCCTGGCCTCCTCCTCCGCCGCCGCCCCCCTCCCGCGCCCCCAGGCTCCCCATGCTGTTACGGCATCCTGCGGCGGGAGAGAAAGCAGGGCCAAGGGCGTTACGTAGGGCGCGCCGCTTTATCTTATCTTTTAGAAGAGTAATTTTTAGAATGTATTAGGGGATATATGTGTGCGTGTGTGTCTGTGTGTAGTGTGAGTGCGTGTGTGTGCGTGTGTAATGTGCGTGCGTGTGTGTTTATGTACATGCGTGAGTGTGTTTGTGTGTACAGCAGTGCGCGTGTGAGTTTATGTATACATGTGTGAGTGTGTTTGTGTGTACATGTATACCTGTATTCAAATGTACGTATATGTTTATGTGAACGTGTACGTATGTGTTTACGTGTCCCTGTATCCGGAAGTATGTATGTGTACATGTGTGCGTGCGTTTCTACGTGTAGGTGTAAGTGTATATGAGCTGGTGTGTGTGTGTATAGGTGTATGACTGCACGCTTGCTACAGTACAAATGAATGCAAGCATGTCCGTGTGCATGTACGTGCATGAGGCTGGCCCTCCTACCCTACCCCCCTTGAACTGACCCAAACACCGGGAAAGGGAAGAAGCGTATACCTCAATTAAAAAAAAAAAAAAACATAATTCATTTTTTTTTCAACAATTAAACTTTTTTTCTCTCACGAATTACACCATAGTTCACACGTGCGGTAATCTCTTGCCTATTTATCCCCCCCCCCCCCCCATCAAAAAAGGGAGGGGGGGCGGCGGGGGGCATGAAACAGCCATAATTACTTTTATAATTATTCTCTCCCAATTAGCATATTCAGCTGTTATCAGTGTTCAGCGCCGCAGGACAAAAGAGCGTTGTATTTTGCGAGGCTTTAGGTATTCCTGCCTTTAGGGCGCGTGCGTGCGTGTGTGTGAGGATGTGTGAGTGTGTGTGTGTGTGTGTGTGTGTGTGTGTGTGTGTGTGTGTGTGTGTGTGTGTGTGAACGTGTGTGTGTGAGAGAGAGAGCGAGAGAGAAACAGAGAGAGAGAGAGAGAGAGAGAGAGAGAGAGAGAGAGAGAGAGAGAGAGAGAGAGAGAGAGAGAGAGAGAGAGAGAGAGAGAGAGAGAGAAAGAGAGAGAGCGAGAGCGAGAGAGAGTGTGTGTGTGTGTGTGTCTGACTAGAAGCATACGTGTGCATCAATAAGTATATTTATGCGTAAAACTGCGTTGATCCACAAGTGTTTATCTGTATACACGCATGCATATATCAATATTTCGTGTACACACACATATGTATCTAGAATCACGTGTACATAAATATTTAACTCAAACTCATTAACGAAAACAGCAGCGTAACCTAAGCCATGACGTCACAGCTTGACCAGGCCGGTGGGCGGGTCTTACCTCTATCCACGGAAGACTTGAGGGCTGAGGGCGTGGCCAGCGAGCGTGGGCGTTCGAGGGGCGTCTCCAGCGCTCCCTCCATGGGCGTGATGCTCCCCCGGAACAATCCTGCGAAGGGGGGGGGAGAGATATGGAGATGAATATCAAGAAGCCGACAAGAAATATAAGAAGTAAATATAATAATAACAATAATAATAATAATAATAATAATAATAATAATAATAATAATAATAGCAATACCTTAAAAAAAAACTAAAAACCTTCCATCATTGCGGCAGGACCGTTAAAAAAAATCAAATTCAAAAATTCGAATTCAAACGGTGACCTCCCCATCTCTCCCCTCCTTCCTCTAACCCCTCCCCCCCTTTCCCTTTCCCCTTTATCTTTCAAAGAGGACGGACCAGCACACGTCAAAATGTTATCTAATTGACTAATTCACGGATACTGAGGTCTTTTTTATTATCATCAGCACTCGAGATAAGATAACGCTATCACTTCAACGAGTCTACAGGAAGGGATGTATGTATTTATGTATGCTATGTCTGCGTGTGGTATGTACATGTGCTTGTATGTCTGAAATTAATGAAGTATGTCTGCATGCAAGTATGTATTATGTATGTGTGTATGTATGTATGTATGTATATATGCATGTGTGTGTAAGTACGTACGCACGCACACATCAAAATCCTCGAACACAGGTAAACACCCGAACGTACATACACACATACGGCTCAATCTACCGGTTAACGAATCAATTAAACTCTTTTTTCCGGGTCTTCCCTGACATTTTGACGTCATTTCTTTGAGAAGTGATTTACACATTTTTTTTCGCGGGTAAAGACCACAGCAGAATAACTCTGACGTCACGCTCTTCTCTTTAACTGGTTGGGCATTTCCTGTCGCTATTTTTAAAATAATCTCGAACACAGCCAGCCAATAAAATTAATACATAAATAAACAAATAAATAAATACATAATCGATTTCGAAAATATATATATTTATATATATATATATATATATATATATATATATATATATATATATATTATATATGAGAGAGAGAGAGAGAGAGAGAGAGAGAGAGAGAGAGAGAGAGAGAGAGAGAGAGAGAGACAGAGAGAGGGGGGGAAGAGAGAAAGAGAGGGAAAGAGAGAAAGAGAGGGAAAACAAGAGAAAGAGTGAAATAGAGATAGATAGATAGATAGATAGATAGATAGATAGAGAGAGAGAGAGGGGGGGGAGAGAGAAAGAGAGGGAAAGAGAGAAAGAGAGGGAAAACGAGAGAAAGAGAGAAATAGAGATAGAGATAGAGAGAGAGAGAGAGACAACAACAACAAAGGAAGAAAGAAGAAGAAAAACATTTAACAATAAAAAAGATAACGGAAGCAAATTGCGTTTTTTCCTCAATTCCCGAGGCCCTTCCTAAAGACCTGATGACGTCACTTCCGGTCAAGAAGGCACAGTGGGAACAGATTCTTAATGTAAATCAGGTCACTTACAAAGAGTACTAGAATGCATAATTAATCAATCTAATCGCTTGGCAAATGAATGAAATGTTATGAGTGAAAAAAAAAGTTCGAGCGAAAAAACATAAATACGCAATATGATCATCGTGGATTACTTAAGGGTGATATTAACCACGATGCACAGTAGAAAAATCGCCTTTAAGACTTTTCATATAATTTCGTTACGTTCTCTTATATCCTTTTTTTTCTCCCCATATAGTATACGAAATTCAGAAAGCCCTTAAAAATCGACAAAACAAATTAGATTCCCCTTTAAAAAATATATCTTCCGGTGATGCGAAAACGGGAACGTGGCAAGAGTGTCACGTGACCTCCTCTTCCTCACTACGCCCCCCCCTCCCTTCCCCCCTCCCTCTCCCCTTTCCTTCACACACCTTTCACATGGGCAGCCCCCCCCCTCCTCATCTATTCCTCCTTTCCCGATAATCTCTGTCTCCTTCAATTATTTCAGTTTGTTTTACTGTCTTTGCTAAAGAGAGAGAGAGAGAGAGAGAGAGAGAGAGAGAGAGAGAGAGAGAGAGAGAGAGAGAGAGAGAGAGAGAGAGAAAGATTAGAGACGAAAAGATAAGAGAAGAGGAAGAGAAAGAGAGAGAGAAAGAAAAATAAATAAAGAAAAAGACACACCCAGATAATATAAAAGACACAGAGTTAGAAAGAGGGAGAGAAAACAAAGCGATAACCAGCGAGGGAAGAGAGATCCGAGGCGACAGGGTAGACACCGCGGCGCCCTTCTGAGGTGATCTTAAGTGCAGCTGCAGAAACATGGCTGCGTCAGGCGATAGCACCAGGGTGTTATGTTGACCTGCCCTCCGTGTGACCCGGTCAGATCCTGTCTCCTTGCTCCACCCCCCCCCCTCTCTCTCTCTTCCTCTCTCTCTCTCTCTCTCTCTCTCTCTCTCTCTCTCTCTCTCATTTTCCCTCCCTCTCTCTCTCCTGCCATCCTATTTTCCTCCTTCTCTTCATCTTCCCTTCCTTCCTTCTCTCCTCTTCCCTCCTCTCTTTTCCCTTCCTCGTTTCCCCTTCCCCCCCCCCCCCTCGCAGATTCGTCTCAGAGTCCCACAGTGAGGCGTCCAAGATTTTTTTCCCTCCTTCCTATAAACGGGTCACGTGTTCTGTTTTCTTTTATTTTTCTCCTTCCTCGTATCTCTGGATATTAATATTCAACAACAAATATATATATGCAAGTTGGATGTATGAGCACAAAATCAGGTTTGAAAATGAAAAAGAAAAAGAAAAAAAATATATATATATATTTACGTAGAGTTTATTCCCAGAAGCCATTAGGGTAAGAGCTCATATGCGGTATTTCAAACCTGATTATGACAAAAAAAATTGAATCCTGGCCTTTAAAAAAGAAATTAACCACAGATGTGTTCATAACCTCGAAGCACACCCCCCCCCAAAAAAAAAAAAAAAAAAAAAAAAAACGAAAAAAAACTGTCTGTCTGTCATCTCCTATCTCTATTTACCGAAACTGCAATCACCTTTTTTTTTATCTAGACCGTCTTGCACTCTCAACAAAAGGACAGGCTTGTTACGTTTAATAGAATACTGTTGTTTGATCTAATATATCTGCTCTAATAAATCGACAACTGGCAACCCCACTCTTTCCCGATGCTATCGTGGAAGGCGATAAAAGAAAACAGAAGAAAAGTTACGATAACATTTACCTTCAGTGGCGTAATCGTTGGCAAAATAGTGTTTTATCTCTTGATAATGGCCGGTAAAAAAAGGCGAAGAAAACGATATCTTCTGAGAACAAATAATGCAAAATAAAAAAATATTGGTCCTTTTTAAAAATCTTGACATAGATCAAAATTTCGATTATCAAATGAAAGAATGATAAATAATTATATATATATATAGATATATATATATATATATATATACATATATACATATATACATATATACATATATACATATATACATATATACATATATACATATATACATATATACATATATACATATATACATATATACATACATATATATATATATATATATACATATATACATATATACATACATGCATATATATATATATATATATATATATATATATATATTATATATATATATATATATATATATATATATATATGTATATATATATGTATATATATATATATATATATATATATATATATATATATATATATATATATATATATATATATATATATATATAATCACCTTCAAAAGTAAAACGCGGCTTTTTGCTAAATATCGAACAGATTCTCCACTTCACTTCAAAGACATGCTCACTTCATTTAAAAAAAAAATCACTTTAACTTAAACAAGACAGACACGAGAAGTCAATCAACGTTCAACAAAAAACAAAACATGATATTTTCCGTCTTTTTTCTTCTTCTCCTTTCCTTTCTTCTTCTCCTTCTTTCTTTTTCTTCTCCTTCTTTCCTTATCTTCTTCTCCTTCTTTCTTTTTCTTCTCCTTCTTTCTTTTTCTTCTTCTTCTTCTCCTTCTTTCTTTTTCTTCTTCTTCTTCTCCTTCTTTCTTTTTCTTCTTCTTCTCTTTCTTTCTTTTCTTCTTCTTCTCCTTCTTTCTTTTTCTTCTTCTTCTTCTTTGGGAGTGAAAAGGGGGCACTTGTTCACGTAATATATTCTCTTTTTATCAATTTTACTGCGTGTCTTATCATTCGTGTTTTACAAACTGCGGCTGGTCAGCATCCCCTCCAACGCTATCTTTCACTGCTCGTATAATTTCTCGTCTTGTTCACTTCTTACGTCTTTCTTCTATTATTTCCTTCTTCCCTCATTCTTCTCTTGTTTTCTTCTTTCCCCCTTTCTTCTCTTATTTCCTTCTTCCCCCTTTTTCCCACACTTCGCACTTCAAGATTTCCAAACACACAGACACACACCTTCGTACAATCTCGATCCTCCTTTCTCGCTTCTCCCACTTTTATCGCATTCCTCTTCCTCTTTCGTTCGCGGAGGAGGACGGAAGGAGACGGAACGGAGACGGCGACTGGAGGCGACCGAGTGAAGCGGAGACGAGGCGACGGAGTGAGGCGGAATGGGGAGGGGGGGGAGGGGGGGAGGTGCACATCGCAGGCACACTTCGCTTCCGGTTTGGAGTCACTGCTTGCCCCCCCCCCCCCCTCTTTCCCTCCTTCCCCCATCACCCCTATTACATACTCATCCTCTTTGTTGTTGCTGATGTTGTTCTTGTTGTTTGTCTTTCTCTCCTCTTCCTCCTCCTCCTCCTCTTGATCTCATTCTCCTCATTGCACAAAACGTTCCCCGTTGCTTCACATTCCTCCATCCTCCTACATGGTCTCCCTCCCTCCCTCTCTCCCTCCCTCCCTCTCTCTCTCCCTCCCTCCCTCCCTACCGTCTCCCTAACTATCCACACACACGTCTCCATCACCCCCTTCCCCCTTCCTCTCCATCCCTCCCTTCTCCCCTCTCCATCACCCCCTCCCTCCCCCAACACACGCATCTCCCACACCCCTTCCCTCCTTCAACATCCCCCCCTCCCCCCCTTCCCTCCCCCAACACGTAGCGTACCAAGTAATAACTTCAAAACTTTCCGAGAACCGACTGCACTTTTCCTGC